TGAATTGAGCTAAATGCAAATTAGATACTTACAGCTATAGAAAGACAACATAAGACAGAAAAAAGGCAAGGCACAGAGTGAGGGAAGAAAGCGCAATGCAAAAGAGGACTAATGTCAAATGTATAAATTCTTCGTTAGGGTTCCCTGGAGGAACAGAATCAGTAGAAAATACAAGTGTAACTATGCAAGGGGATTAATTAGGTGGCTCACAGGATCAAAGGGGGAGAGTCCCCAGTGGCCGTCTATGTGCCAGAAAATCTGGCAGCTGCTCAGCCCAAGAAGATGGAAGCTGCAGAACAAGAGGGATCAGGATATGACATCAGTCCAAGATCCGAGGTTGCAGGCCTGGGGTCTCACTGTAGAGTCACTGCACTGGAGGCTGAAGAAACTGGAGACTGAAGAAACTGGAGACTGATGTCCAAAGACAACAGAGCAAAGAATGCATCCACTCAGGAAGACTGGAGCTCTTTTAGAAGCAGCCACACTTCTCTCTTCTTTCCCTCTTTATCCCATTCAGGCTGCAAGCCCATTGGTTGGTGCCACCCACATCTGGGGTAGGTCTCCCCACTCAGTTTGCTGGCCTACCTGTCAATCACCCAGACATACTCAGAACTCTGCTTTACAACTCTGCCTGGTGATTGTTGCCCCAATCAAGTTGACAAACCACAGCTAACAGTCACATATGTGCATTTAATTTATATATTCATATTTAATTTATATGTATGCATGTATGAATTGGATTAATCTTATTTAAATATAGTGTATGTACTTTATGTATATTAGTATACATTTAATATATTTGCTAATATATATTTTTTATATGCATATATATTTGACAATCTGTAGATAAATGACAAGCAAACTAGTAAAGACAAAAAACAGGATGTTCACAAAAGGCTATATTCTACTGGCCAATGCATCTATGAAACAGCATTCTACTTCAATGGCAACACAGAGAAACACAATCAGCAACCACTGTGAGATCGCATTCCATACTCAGAAGGCCAACAAAATGAAAAAGACAGACAAAATAAGTATTAGCAAAGATGTGAGGAATTTAAGACACTCATACACTGCTAGGGGTGTAAGTTGGCACAACCACTTTGCGTGTCTACTAAAGCATCCATGCACTCTCTGCCCAGGCAGGGCCACTCCCAGGGGTGTACCCTGTAGAAAGATGCATAAATACATGCACAAAACACACATCTCAGAGCGTCCCAGCAGCAGCACCTATGATCACCACAGCTGTGATAGCACAGATGAGTCAGTTTCGCAGGACTCACGCCATGGGCTAGCATGCAGCAGTGCAGATGGATGACATCCCAGCAACACCTCAAGATGCATGAATCACGGACACATCAGGTAGCACTAATTTTGGCTGCAGAAAGACAGGACAAGGGCTGTCTCAGGGAGGGAGATGACTGGAGGTGTCCTTTGGTGATGTCTGTTTCCGGGGCTGGACCCACTGGTGACCTTGTGAAATGTGCTGAGCTCTGAGCTTAGGATATGCATATTTCTCTGTATGCGTGTTATATGGCAATTAAACTTAGTACAGTGCAAAGGTAAAGTCCACTTACTCAGATATTTGCTTGTTCAAAATTCTCCTTTTTTCACAATTAGTGTAAATTAGGAGGCGGGAAAAGGGGAGATTGGTACATGAGGCAAAGAGAAACAGGAAACAATAGAAATCAGCATGTTCAGTGACTGCAGTGAAACCATCTGAGACCCAGGAAGAAAAGGAAGCAAGGCTAGACCCCTAGTTATTATTGTGATCAATTAAGTTTCTGTGATTAGAGTTGGGAATGTCTCATTCTCATTATGTTTTGCATTTGGGCCATGAAATCTCCCTTCCAGGACACAGGATGGGAAGTAAATTGGAATTATTTTTAGTTCTCATAACAGTTCTAACCTCAAACAGAACAAAATGTCAAGTGTAATGATTCTTCCAAGCACTAAGTTAGAAATCAATTTTTAACTCATTCACTGTGTCAGAGCAGGGTCAGCAAGACAGCTATGAGCACACTTTCTAATTTTCTGTACAAACTCTACCAGTCTTTTTCCTGAAAAATTAACTTCATCTATGAGAAAAAAACTCTCCCTAAGAATAAATTGAGAAATTAAAGTGTAAGTAATGTCACAAATTTATATTGATTCTTCTAGAGAAAAAGAAAAAACTGGATTGCTTAAATGAAGGAAAAAGTGTGACGTTAGGGCTCATGGAAGGAATTTCAGAATACCTTTGTGACCTTGAAGGTAGGGAAGGACTTCTTCAACAAAAATTCTAAGTCAAAAGCTTAAAGGCCCACATGTGCCCCCTCACACACATATGCACTTAACTGCACCGACATAAGAGTTTCCGTTTGATGGAGAATATCATAAGTCAAGTCACAGAAGACAGAGAAATGGAGGAGGATATCATAATGCTGCAAACTGGTCATTAAAAAGAAGTCTTCTGGGCCCGGGATTATTTAGCTCAGTGGTTCCACCACCTGCCTCACAAGCCCAAGGTCCCCAGTTCGATCCCTGGTACCAGAAAAAGGTCTTTTTTAGTTGAAGAAAAAAAGAAGAAGAAAGAGGAGGAGGAGGAGGAAGAGGAAGAAGAAGAGGAAGAAGGAGGAGGAGGAGGAGGAGGAGTCCTGTAAGCCAATGAGAAAAAGATGGTAATCCCCAAAGAAAACAAAAATGGGTAGAGTCTGAACAGGCACATTTACAGAGCAGGGAACCCAATAGCTGAATAAATCAATGCACAAGCAGCTGAGCACTGAAGAAACACCAATGCACACATTCTGAGGTCACTGTGCATCATCTTAGTTGGTGAAGCTAGATGTTTGGGACTGCAGAGTGCTGGTAGCCTGTGGGGAGGTGGGAACCCCAAGTGATGCTGATGGAGGGGTGGCAGGGCTGTCACTCACAGCCTTCTCGGGCCTGCTTGACCCATACACTCAGTGGCTGCAGGGACCCTCCTGAGTGTGGAAAGCTGGATGCTATGCTCACCTCCCCTCCCCATGGTAGAACTCTACACCCTGCCTTTGTTGCATAACTCTGATTCCACTGTAGTACAGGGCCTTCTCCACTTGTCCAACAGCTGGTTCTGGCCAATGGAATGTGAACAGGACGATGTAGAGGTCTTAAACCAGCATGTGCATTTTGTCTTCCTTTCATGAACTCAGAAACTCAAGCAAAAAGCCATGGCAACTGGTTTCAGGATGTCCCCAAATCCGGGGCAAAACCCTGCACTGCCAGGCACAGCCACTTGGGGGCACTCACAGCCAGCAAAGTCCACAAGGCTGGGGACTAGAACTTGCATTTTTACTCCTTGTGGATTTAAACCGTGAAAATTGTTTTTCCTTTAGAAGCACCTTCTTTGTTTGGGTGGTACTACCTTCACTTAGTGTCTGGTGCTGAGCCTCTGGTTGAGTTGTACTGTGACTGTAAAATACACACGGATTAAGTGGCCACCTGATGTCCTGAGACTGGTTTCATGTGGAAACAACAATGTTTGGTGAGCAAAGCATTATTAGAATCAGCCCCATCTGCTTCTGCGTCTCTAATGCAGCAATCTGGGTGCTGAGTTGTGCTGTCAGTGTGGCTGGTGCTGACCCCAGCAGGAACCCTGAGCTTTGTCTTGTCCCCTTGTCCCTGGGCTCTGGTCCCAGGATTATCTCCTTCACAGGTGATGGAGCAGGAACACACAGTCATTGAGGCCACACACAGACAAGAGATGCTGGGCTAGGGAGGGCAGGGTGCATGCATGGTGGACTGTGAGCATCTTGGGGGCATCTCCTACGGGGCTCTGAGCCAGGCTTCCCATGTAGGGACTGGATGTATGGGGTGACACTGGCCATATGGGGCAAGCCTGCAGGGCCCAGAAGGCACCTGACCTGTGCTGCTGCTCCCCAGCCTCTCAGGGCTCATCTTCTTCCAGGAGGTGGAGATGGGGACTCGGGAGCCCCCAGGCTGGGTGCTTCCCAAACTGGAGGACCCCAGGGCATTTGCATGTGGAGACTGTGCCTCTCAGGAGCACCTCACTAGACATTAAAACAGAGACCCCCCAAAGAAACAAGAGACCTATTGTTTATAAAATAGCTATGTGAAGTCACCACATGAAAAATAATTGTATTTTCCAAAACAAGGAAATCACTGAGAAGGACAGAGCTGCTGCACCTCCTCGCAGGCCTCACCAACTCTCAGAGCTCTGTGCCCCACATTTGTCCCTGCTCACATTTCCCACAGCCCTGGAAGGCTCTGAAGCAAGCTGGGCATGGCGGCTCATGCCTGTAATCCCAACATTCTGGGAGGCTGATGCAGGAAGATCCCAAGTTTGAGCTCAACCTGGGCAATGGAGCAACTTAGTAAGACTGTGTCTCAGAATAAAAAAATAAAGGGCTAGGGATGTAGCTCAGTGTGAAGGACCTGGGTTCAATCTCCAGTGCCACAGGAACAAAACAAAAGCAGAGAGACAGATCCCCTGTGTGTGTGTGTGTGTGTGTGTGTGTGTGTGAGAGAGAGAGAGAGAGAGAGAGAGAGAGAGAGAGAGAGAACTGGCTTCCATGTGGAGGAGCTGCAAGTCTGAGGTCCACAGGGCAGGCTGGTGGGCTGGGCCCCGGGTGCAGAATGGGCCAGGCTGGAGTCTGGAGGGCATGCTGGGCTGCAGGATCCTCTTGCTGGAGAGACTGGCTCGCTTTCTTTCTTTCTTTCTTTCTTTCTTTCTTTCTTTCTTTCTTTCTTTTTTGTACCAGGGATCGAACTCAGGTCCTTGCACTTGTGCAGCAGGCCGGGAAACCATTGAGCTAAATCCCCAGCCCTGAGATTGCCTCTTTCTTGAGGCCTTCACCTGATTAGACGAGGTCCCCCACCTCAGGAAGGATGACTTGCTGTTCATCTGGTGATCTGCATCTCCTTATTTAAACATCAATTTCATCTTCACTGTAATGGGTCCAATTCTGTACTCACCATGAGTGCTTTGGTTTACAAACACAGTAGCCAAGAGTACATCATTAAACAATATAAACGAAAAACTACATTCTTTATTAGAGGGTGTCACTATTTGTTCAGGCTTCTGTCTGAGGATTGGGAAATGGTTTCAGAAGTTAGTTAGCTGTTGCCTGTGTCCTCCAACATTGAAGAAAAGGTCAGATGCTGCCTAGAACCCAGGGTTGGTAAAAGCACTTCATCAACGACAGCCAACAGGAAGCCAGCTCCATGAGGGGGAAGCTAGAGCTGCCTGGGAAACTGAGACAGTTCTAAGACACAGTCCTTTCAGCACCGAGCTCTGGGCAGACTTTCTGGACATGCTGCTTGCCACAGGTTTCAAATACGTCATCTCCAGCCTGGCGTCGGGTGTAAGCCTGCGATCCCAGCACTCTGGGGGCTGAAGCAGGATGATCACAGACCAAGCTCATTGTAGGCAATTTAGCCACTCAGCAAAACCCTGTCTCAAAATAAAAGGGGCCAAGATCTAGCTCATTAGGAAAAAATTAAGTCACCTCACTGACTCTTTGTCACAACGTTGGAAGCGGGAAACTTCAGAATTCTCACATGAGCAGCTTGGACTCAGAAAGAGGTAGGGAGAAAAGTGTAAGTCCCCAAACCTTCTCCAGCCTTCTTCCCCAGACACAACACAGGACTGCTGCGTGCACATGTGGGAGGGAGCATCACTGTCTCCATGGCCTGACCCAAGCCAGCTTTAATTGAGGCATCACCATAGCAACCTCATCACCATGGTAACCGGAAACTGGTCTAATCAGTCATCTTTATGGTACAACACAGCAAGAAGGAACTGGAGATCATCAGGTACCAGCATATTTCACACAGAAGCGGGAGTCCACAAAGGCATCCTTGTGTTCACTGCAACTCCTGACGATCAGCAATGCTGACAGAGATGATAAAGTCACTGCCGCTGTCTGAATACTAAACTGTGGGCAGGGCCAGGCAGGCAGCTTGCATTCGAAACCACCAGGGCAGTGCTCTCTCTTATCCTGTGTTATGGACCAGGCAGCAACTGAGCTCAACTGCTGGCAGGTGGAGGTGGCTGAATGGGAGCCAGGCCCGTAGGGTGAGGCCAGGACCCAAGTCCCTGCACAGCCAGACTTGAGTGGCTGCACGGCATGGGCTGTGGGCTCTGCTTCCCCACCACAGCGCAGGAGTGGGGCCTGAGGGGTCTGTGTGAACTGGGCTGTCAGTCACCTCCCTCAGCTTCACACCATCCTTGTGCCACCTCCATGATGGCTCAGTGCTCTGCCACGTCCGCACCCATGAACCAGCTCCTAGAACTCTGCCTCCCGTGCACAGGGCACCATCCTGCCTGGGCTCCTCCAGGGCATGGTGCTGGCATGCAAGTGCCTTGGTCATTGCTAGGTTCCATGGGTATTTCCTCCTTGCCCATACACACACACACACACACACACACACACACACACACACACACACCACAGGCACACACCACAGACACACATGCATACCATGCAGGTGTAGCCCACCGCTTTCCCTGGTGGGCACTTTCCTGCCTGCCCAAGTGTGCACACAGACACAGTAGGAGGTGGCCCTGATCCCAGAGACCAATGTCTTCCCCTTCCTCAGAGACTGGGACAGGAAGGCCTGGGGGGACAGGCTTGTGTGCTGAGCCTGGGAAGAACCCTAAGTGACCGGGGTGGGGTGGGGGGTTCCTCTGTGCTCACTCGTGATGCTCCCCCAGCTCCGGCACCTTTGGGTCACCATCTCCCACTCCTCCCCTTCATTCCTGGAGAGTGTCACCCTGGTTCCACTCCTGCCGCAGATGTGATGAGCTCTACCTGAGTCTGTCACAATCCTCTTGGAGCCCTCTCTGGCCGTGGGACCTTGGAGTTTGGGTCTCATTACTGAAAAGAAAACGGTGAGTGGAACATACTAAAGAGCTTTAAAAAAAAAGCCCCCAATTTCGTGCAGAACGTACATATTTTCCTCTTCTTACCAGTTCACTAATTCTTTCCTTTATTTACTCAAAAATGTAACTACAGGCTAGGTGGTACCAAACAGCAGGACCTATTACGGTGCACTGAATGAGGAAAGCTCGTTTCCTGTCCCCGAACCCTATCTGTCCACTCTTTCCCTCCGTGGAGACCCTTTGCTCTCCTTCCTGTCTGAGGTCCTCACAGCAGCCTTCAGGGGACACAGAGAGCTCTGGGGCTCCAGAGCAGCCCCATGAGGAGGAGGGAGCCCACAGGCAGAGGGAAGCGGAGCTGGGTGAAGCTGGAAGCTGGACAGCAGGAACTCCCAGAGGCAAGGGGTAGCCCCACAGTCAGGCTCCGTTGGATGGGCTGCTCCTCAGTGGAGAACAACCTTGGGCAGGCCAGCACCTCTAGCTGAGGACAATTGCAAGGAGAGGCCTACGCGGCAGTGAGTGGCCAGCGTGCACTTTCCACGGCCGGTGGGGCACAGCACCCCAGATCCGGTCAGTCCCTCCCTGTGTCCACTTTGGCCACAGACTCGGGAACCCACAAGGAGTAGGAATCTCCGTGGCTTGCAGTTCTGGAAGCTGGAGGGTCAAGACCCAGAGGCCACATCTGGTGAGGCCTCCTTGCTGTGTGATAATTTGAGGGAGTGCAGGCAGAGATGGGGCGAACCGCCCTCTGGTATGGAGCCCACCACCAAGACAGCAGCCTCGACCCACCGGCCAGGGCAGAACCTTGTGACAGGGTCACCTCCTGAATGTCCCATCCTTCACGGCTGCGCTGGCCCGGTTTCCAGTGTGTGGACTCCGGAGACATGTTCCGACCATACCAGCACCAAGATGTCACTTCACCCAAGGGACCAAGCACTGAGGAGACCCCGTCCTAACCTTGGGGTCTTGCATGGTGACCAGGAGGCCTCAGTCCTGGCAGGTTTCGGCACGAGGCCCTTAGGGTGTGAGGCCTTCCCACAAAACCCCTTGCACATAAAGCCCCTCAGCCCCCAGATCACCACCCCCACCCCACAGGAGGAGCCTGGGCCTCGAGGGCCGAGTCGGAACTGCCAGGCCTTGAAGGTGCACCCGTGCTCAGGCAGGGGGTGTGGCTGCAGAGACCTTAACATCTCCAGTGGGTTTGCATGTGATCAGGTGGGAATTGCTATCCCTAGGGAAAACCATGGGAGCTGGTTCAGGCCACAGAGTGACCAGAATGCGAGCAGGACAGGGTTGCCAAGCTGACTTCACCCACCACATAGAAGTTAGATAGGACGGGGTCCGCAGACACACCAGGGGATGCTGCAGCCCATCTTTGCTGAACAATGTCCTTCTTTTCCCAATTCATGGGGACAGGAGAGTGAGTGGTAGAATCGCTCCATTTTAACTTACCATTTATTTTCCCTGGTCATCTTTCCTTAAGTCCCAGTGCCTGTCACAGCTCCTCTGTCTGAGTGGTGGGCATTACCTTCGTGTACAGCAGGCCTTCCCCGAAGAGAGGCTGGTGTGCAGAGCTGGGGCCTGGCTCCCAGGGCAAGCCCAGGCAGGCTCTGTGCGCTGAATACCTGCAAATACAAAGCCATCCTCCAAAACCAGGACAGGCAGAGGGACATCTGTGCACTCAGTGGTCCCCCCGCCCCGCCACCACCCTCCAGGGGACACTGGCTGGGATGGCTGGGGATGTATGAGACATGCAGGTCTGGAGACTGTGGGAACACATGTCCCGGCCTCAGAGTCTGACTGTTCTGTTCCTGAGGGAGATATTGCTTAGTGGTTGAAGTTCAGTCAATATTTACCTCTTGGGTCAGTAAAGCCAATGGTCCCTTCAGCTGACCGTCACGTCTGCTCACTTTGACCTGGGGTCACCTGGGGAGGATGGGGTGTAGTGGAGGGAGGGAGAAGTATGCAGAACGTCATCCTCCTCTGGGCGTTGCAGTCCTGGCGCCTTGTGGAGGCTCCTTCACTGCTGGCATTGGGTGGCTCCATCATCATGTATTTGGAAGCACAGTGGGCCAGGTGCCTGAGGTTTAGGAGAGGCAAGGCCTGGAAAGTGAACATTGCTTCCCATTTGGGTGGATTGCAAGCACTCTCACTGATCCTACCTGGAAATACATATTATATACAAGGTCATGCACTCCACAATGACATCTTGGTTAGTGACAGATCACAGGTATGGCAATGGTCTCATCAGATTGTAATAGAGCTAAAAGTCTTCTATCCCTGTTGACATCATAGCTGGCATGTGTGTGAGTGTACGAAACTCCATAATACTGTGAGCCAATCTTTTATGTCCTTTATTGCTTGGAAGCAAAATTTGGGGGAGGGTTATGACAGTCATCAGACGGCCTTAAAACTGAGACCAAAGAGGCGAGGTCCTGGTTCCCATAGGGGGCCCAGCTGGAGGAGCAGGGATGCCCCAGTCACACTTCCCCAGCTGCTGCAGGAGAGGGGCAGTGCGCTTCGGGACCCAGAGCCACTCAAGGATCAGCGTCTTTAAAGGGTGTAATAAAAATATGGTGACTGTTGCCGCCGAGGACCACCCAATGGAAAGGTAGGCTCGTGAAGACATCACAGAGTGTCCTCATCTACCTTCTTCACCAGATCTGGCACTGTGAGACTTGTGGCTCTTCCCCAAAGACAAAGTGACCATGAAAGGGACACATTTTGAGTCAATTCAGGACATCGAGGCAGCCAGGACAGCGCAATTAAAGACACTCCAGAAGGAGGATTTGCAGAACTGCTTCAGAAAGAATGATGGGATAAGTGTGTTTAAAGCGAAGCAGAGGATTTTGAGGAGGATTCGTGGCAATATGTCTTTTACAGCAATACATTTTAAATATTTAAACACTGTATTTTCCAATCACACCTCTCTAGACATACCCTACATATCCTGTTGGTTCTGCCTCTTGGAGAACTCAATACACCAGGCAACAGCTGACGGTCCAACAGAGGAGGCTGCCAGGGGACCCTGGACTGTGGGGCTCCGGTGGTCGCAAAGGTCAGAGCACCTGGGGTCTGCCGTGGGCGGGCCGCTTGCACCACAGGCTGCAGACGCGGACATGGCAGGTCCGTGCCCAGGGCCTTCCGTGGGCAGGGAGAGGTGCTGGGGAGAAAGCAAACAGGAAACAGCGGCTGGCCGGAACAGCTCCATCTGGCAGGAGGCACTGAGGAGGCGATGGGAACCAGGCTCTCAGTGGAGCCCAGCGAGGGCAAAGGCAGAGATTCTGGGGCCAAGGACCCAAGAGAGGAGAGAGCAGGAGGGGCAGAGGCCACAGCCCCCGGAGGCTGCATGTGGCTCTGCTGTGCCTCCAACAGTCCTGGGGGATGGATCCCAGCAGCTCTGAGGGCGGAGGGTCTGGCTGTGCCCTCCTGGCTGTCTGGAGCAACCCTCAGGTCATCCTCCTGCAATGACTTCCAGGCCACATGGGGTGACCCGGGTGTAAGCAGCAGGTGTGTGGACCGAGTGTACAGAGGAGGTGGGTGTACAGCAACATGCCTGGGCCAGCACCACCCTCTCCTGTGGCGCTGCCAGCCACCCCGGCCCTTGTGGCTCTCTTCCCCAGGCTCCATGCCCACAGCCTGGTGGAGCAGTGTGTGGGTGGAGCAGGGGTGGATTTCACTTCAGGAGCCCTGGATGGCCCTAGACCCTCTCTCCAAGATCCCCAAGAGTCCCCTCTGTGTCCCTTCCTGGGCTGTGCAGACCAGCCCACCTCAGAGCTATTCTTCAGCTTCCTTTCACCAACACACCGTCCACCCAGAGGCCCAGGAAGGAGTCTGATGAGTGGGGCTGATCTGGTTGGAGGATAGAGTGCTGCCCCCTCCACCTGCTGCCCCTTCCACCTGCTGCCCCATCCCCCGCAACCCAGGGCTCAGCTGAGCACCCTCCAAACTCCACATCTGGGGTTCTAAGCAAGGTCTCTGCAGGGGACTGTAATACTGATTATGCCCAAAGCAGGCTGTGAAGAGTTAACCCCACGATTGGCTGGTTTATAGAAGTGAGTCTGGCTGAAGCCTACAAGCCGAGGTCAGAGTAACTCGCACCCAAATTCCGTTTCCACAACTAAACCTTCAGACTAGAAGGACAATGTTCTAATTACAATTATATATTTTGTCTATTCTGTTCCTAATTTGAATGCTTTGTCTTGTCCTGTCTGAGCCTTGTTTACATTAATTTCCATAGCAACCACACGTTGCCTTTACCCCAATTGATTGCCAATAAAATCAGTGCCCAGGACTGGCCAGGGCCTTTGTCGGTTGCACTGGCATTGGGCGTCCTGGCCCCCACTTTCTCTCTCTTAGTTCCATCTCTTAGAGTATTCTTTTTCTCGGGCCTGCATCACTCACTGGGCAGGTGGGTACTGGAACCTGACTACAGGGGTCTCTACCATCTCTGGATGCCCGTGCTCCCAAGCGCTCTCAGGGGGCCCATAGGGCGCACGTGTCCCAACCACATAACTGTCACAAAACGTCTGCCTCTCTCTTCAACCAAAACAACACCCAGCAAATGTTGGACACGTGCGAAGCAGACAGACACCCACAAAGTGTGACAGGAAAGAGATTTGCAAAATGCAAAAGCTGTTAATTCCAGCACTCTGTGAAGCTGAAACAGGAAGATGGAAAGTTCAAGCCCATCCTGGGCAACTTAGAGAGACTCTGTCTCAAAATAAAAAATAAAAAGGGCAGGGGATGGAGCTCAGTATGAAGGACCTGAGTTCAATCCCAAATACTTCAGAAAAAGAAAAGGCAAACAATACCACTCTTCTCAGTAAAGTTTATTTTTGTTTTGGAAAACACAACTGTTATATATTTATATTAAATCTGTAAGGTTTGTTCTTGTTATTTTTAAGTGAATTAATAAATAGTTCTAAACATTCTCAATGTTAGTTTCTAATAAATTTCTAACCGGTAATTCCTAGGTTGGGAGATGCAGAGCCACACAACCCACAAAGCAAACGTCTTTTGGGGTCTGCTGTCACATCTGGGAGTGTGATGGGCTCTTCTGTGGGACTGCCTGAGAACAGTGCGGGGGTCATGGCTCCCCAAGGCCTGTGTCTTGTGTCACTGGTCACCAGTGACAGTCACTGCTCAGGTGAGGGGCAAAACAGCAAACACCATGCTCTCTGTTTTCCAGGAACATCATGAGGCCTTTCCAAATATTGACGCACTGGGGCCTCTCCTAACACCACACAGTCGGTATCGTTCTACCCTGTTTACAGGTGCAGGATGGAGAGGTCAGGACTCTTGCTCACAGCCACCCTGAAAGGAAGTATTGGGTCAGGAGATCTGACCCAGGAGTCCAGATACTTACCCTGTAGACACAGCCACCATCTCCCGAGCCAAGTCACGCAGCAGCTGTTCTCGACTACTGGTTTTCAGTCTCCTGTGTTTAGGAGTATGTGTGTGAGCATGTGCATATGTGTGAGCAAGTGTGCATCACGTGTGTAGGTGTGCTTGTATGCCTGCACTTGTGACTGTGCATTTGTGACTGTGTGTGTGTGGCCATGTATATGTGTGGACAAGTGTGTGCAGTGTGCACTGTATGAGTGTGTGTTTAAGCATGTGAGTGTTCATTTGTGACCCTATGTGTGCATACATGTGTGCGAGTGTGCACACACGTGTGTGAACAAGTATATGCAGGTGACTATGCATGTGTCTGAACATGCATTTGTGACTGCATACGTGTGTGATCGTGTATGTGAACGAGTGTGTGTGAGTGCACATGTGTGTGCATGTGTCTGAACATGTATTTGTGACTGTGTGTGCATACATGACCGTGTGTGTGTGCGCATATGTGGGCACTTGTGTGCATGTCTGTGTGCTAATCTCCTCAGGCTACCATAACAAACAATGCTCTGGGCCTTCCCTCCTGAGGCTCACTTCCTGTGGTCCTGGAGGCCAGATGTCCAGGATCGAGGGTGGCACCTGGCTCTTCCCAGGCCTCCCTCTCTCCCGGGCTTATAGAGGGCAGCTTCCTCTGGGTCCTTGCTCCTCTCCCTCCATGTCTCTATGTCCTGATCTTTTCTTGTAAGGCCAATGAGATTAGGGCCACCCTGGGGAGCCCATTTTACTTTTGTCACCCCCTTAAAGACCTGCCTGCCTCCAAAGACAGCTGCACTCTGGGAGGCCAGTCTGTATTCCACCTGGCTCTCTCTCCCTGCGGTCTCTGTCCAGCAGCAGTCACCCATGGCCCAGCGGTCAGTGTGAGCTTCCTGCTGGGGGGACAGACCTGGGTGGGGACTAGGGACACAGATTTTGGTGTGGCAGGCGTCCCACTATCTTCCCTGAGATCCCTTCCTGACACTCCCGTGAGGAAATATCCAGGCAGTCTCCAAACACTGGGCCCCCGTGAGGATGGGCAGACAGGCTTGGTCATATGTGCCAGGCTCGTTCACATGTGTCCCAGTGGGTTGCTTCCCATGGGCTCAAGCACCCTTTCTGGAAGGGACCACACTGTGGCAAGCACTTCTGCAATTCCTACAGTGACAGCAGCTGCAGGGCCTCTCCAGGGGTCTGAAGGAAGAGGAAAAACCTTGCACCCAAAGAAGCTGAAACTTCAGCCCCTGGGAGCTGCTGGTCCCAGGGAGCCACTTCACCCCAAGCCAAAGATCAGCCTTGGAAATGAGGCCACCCAGCTCCTCAGACCTAGGCCCTGGGGAGCCTACACCCCAGAGCCTCAGCATGGACTTGAAGGCAGGCCCCCCAGCTGAAGGGAGACCTGAGTCTCAGAAAGTGACCTTGAGGCTACATCCTACTTCCTGTTGCCTTGATCATTCTCTTCTGAAAAATGACATCTTTAAAAAGGCTTCAACCTTTGTCACCCAGCTTGATGCACCTGTCGTGCTCCTTCAGCGCCTCAAGCCACTCCGCTGGGCTCTGCTCCTGTGGGTGGGCTCTGCACTCTCTGAAGGCCTCTTCTGGGATGGATGTTAATAGGGATGCCCCTATTAACTCTCGCTGGGCCACCTTCCTGGACAGACTCCATGTTACCTGCAGGGATCATCAGGCTGCTTAATCACAGCATGGGAACCACGGAAGGACCTTGACCTTGTGCTGCACCTGTTGACTCGCATAGGTGAGGGTGAAGCCTGGCCATACACTGGTAAAAAGATGCTTCTTTAAGAAGTTTTGTCATGTTTCTTTGGTGCTGGTGTCAGTTATGCTGGAAGGTCTCGATTCCCCAGCAGCTTGCATTCCTTGTGGGTGTTCAACAACCCAGCAGGCTTCCCAGAAGAGGCAACTGCATAGATCCAGAGTCACCAGGGCCTGAGGGGGTGCCACACACCTTGGCTACCCCTTCTGGTCACGGAGATAGCTTTTTTAATACCAAAAATCAGTACAACTGCAGAAAAAGTATTCATTTTAATTTAAAATACGTGAAGCCAGGAATGGCTTTACCTATAATCCCAGCTCTGTTTGAGGCTGCGGCAGGAAGATCACAAGTTTCAATTTCTGGTACTGAAAAAAAGTGAAAAAATAAAATCATTTTAGTCTATTTTTTTTTTCTCATTTTGCCAAGCACAAGCAAAAATTTTCTTGTGGACAGCATCAGGCTGGAGCCCGGGGTTACACACTGCAGAGGCTGTGGGGAACTCAAGGGAGCGGCTACTTAGTCATCAAACCTCAGACAAGGCAGACAGGAAGAGGCTGTGGCCGGGAGCTGACCCTGGCTCCAGGCTCACCTGCCTTGTGCCTGCCCTGGGCTGGCTTCTTGGACACTTGGTGACCCCGCCACCTGTACAGACAAAAAGATAGAGGGAGAAGGAAGGCAGAGACAGGGAGACAGAAAGAGACAGAGAGGGAGACAGGGAGAGAGGGTGACAGGCAGACAGAGACTCCGGGTCCCTGGCTCCTCCCACTCTCCCCCATTCTGTATTCCTTCTCACGCTTCACTTCCTACTGGTCTGTGAATCCCCCAGGGAGATGTCTGGGCACTCTGAGGGACCCAACCAAAGGATGCCGTGTTCCAGCCCAGCCCGCTCATCACCCCTGCCTATTGTGTCTGGCCAGAAGGAACCCAGCAAAAGCGAAAGCCAGAACAAGCCTGGCGGGAAGCACACTGCCCTCTCCCTCCCACCCTCCCAGGAGTTCTGCCGGGCTCAGCGGCCACAGCGGGGGCGGATCTGTGTGGCCACAGTGGGGCACCTGGAGAGAACCACACAGGACAGGGACCTGCTGGCCTGCAGCCCCCAGGAATGGGGGAGGTGGCTGCGTCCTCCCCCAGGGCAGGTGCAGCCTGACAGCCTCCCAGGTGCAGGAGTGTGGGTTTGGCTGCTGCCTGGGTGAGGTCTGGTTTAGTTTTTTGTTGTTTATTTTGAGTAATCTGGTATTAATTGAACATTTAATAGGGTTGAGTGTGGTATTTCCACACAATCACATGGCTCGCACTGATTAACACCTTCCTCTCCTGCTTTATGAGCAATGCTTACCACAATTATTTGTAGAAGGACGATGCTCATATGCCCATTTAACAGGGGGATAAACCGAGGCAGAGAGTGATTCGGTGAGGCCTCTTCAAAGTTTAACCCTGGGTCTGCACCTGGATGCAATACTGGTGGGGGAGGGGCAGTGTGAATGGGGAAGTAGAGGCCAGCTGGCCCTCTACCAGTGCTGTTTTTCTAAATACATGAACAAACTTGTAAATACTATGATCCACATATGTGAGAATCGAGGGCTGACTGCTAATCAAAGATTTCCCAAGAGCTCTGGGTCTGACTTGAGACTCCCAAGTTCCAGCATTCTCGGAAGCTTCTCAGCAGGGCTTGGCCACGGGGCCGGGGCGGGTAGGTCCCAGATGCTTCCCAAGGGTGAGCCCACTTGTTCCTCAATAAAATCATGACATCAGGGAATTAAACAGGATGGCAATGGATGAAATAGC